CACAGGATGGAGAGGAGAGAGATGCCACGTATCTCGTTCGGGCTGTGCCCGGCCGGGCTCCGTGGCAAACCCGGCCACCAGACGCTCGCTTTCGAGCCCGCCGTCTGGGCCTGGCTCCAGACGGGGCCCTGGGCTTCCTCCAGGCAGGGTCTCGATCCTTTTCCCTCGATTTTTCATGGGGTCTTGGTGAACCAGGGAGGGACGTGTATTTATTCAATTCAAAACAACATGTCTAATGAATATGATTGTAACAGCTTAGTCTCCTTCAAAATATTACCCACATGAAATGTATGCTAATACGACTAAGTGACTTTGGATAAAAGTGTATGCTAAATTGGCAATGATGTATTGTTCATCAAGGTAAAACACTTTTCCTCAATGCAGCTGTGAGATGTTTTCAATCTTGTGCATATTTTTAGGTTAGGCCTACTGTGTGTATAGTGGGTTTATAATGTTAGTACATGACTGATGAAGATATAACAACTATGGCTGTTTAGTGGAGAAGATCTTGTAAGTTAAATCTGATGTGATTTCAATTTGTGGAAAATACTAAAATCAGAATTTGGCCGACCAGCTGGCCCAGCGGTGCACGGCGCTCATTCTCAGCACGTAGCTGACCTCCATAGTCTTGGTTGTAGCCTTGACTGTTGCTAGCGTAGTAAAAGTTAAGAAGCCCAATGCCAATGCGAACTGGCCAGCAATTTGGGATGCCTAGTGGGAAAGGACCTGGGGCCTCATTTATAAAACTTTGAGGTGGATTTGCTTCAGAAGTTGAGTACGGACGAAACGTAGGACTTGCGTATGCACAGAAATATTCTCGAGGGGGTTGCTGCAAATTGCGTTTTTTTGTTCGCCTGTTCACACGCAGTTTACAGAAACTTCATGTAATTATGAGACAAACCTATTATACCTACAAACACGTCTGATATAACCCGGCTAAGGGTGGGCTGAGATATCCCTGACCTGTCAGCCAATTCCCTCTGGAAAATGCCAGTCGCCAGTCGTGTTGTAAGGACTTGAAGTGGGACTGGCATGGAGTGGTTTCTCCAAGTGCTCCTTTGTAACACTGGGCCCAACAGAGCACAGAGGTCCAACAGGGCGGCGTGAGGAAGTCGGAACAGGCTTATAAGCCTCGCGTCCTCTTTTTTTCAGCAAGTCTTTCTTGCTGTCTGAAGATGTGTTCCCTCCGATCCTTCCATTTGCCATATCTACTAACAGCGCAAGATCAGCCATTGTGCCTCATTACGCATTGTGATGACATGTTTATAACCATCCATCTGATTGTATTTGATAAGTTACATGTGTCGGTATTAATCTAATTGTAAATGGGAAATAGTTCTGTGCAAATGGGATTTATTGCACCATTCAAAATGGTTAAGACATGCGTCACGATGAAACACATTTAAAAATAGAACCAACTAAAGGCATATACATGTCCGCCCCTGGCAGAGGTGTCCCAGCGTCATCTCTATTCGTCACCGGTCTTCTAGCTGCCGTTGTCCAAAATCCCACTGCACACGAACGCATCCCTGGACTGTCTTGGCCTATTGTGCACACCTGTGCCTCATGTGCTGATTGCCATGTGTGTGTATATAAGCCTCCTCATTACTCTGTGTCCTTGTCCAGTATTGTTTGGTGTTACGCGTGTGTGCTGCATTTTTGACATTAAGAGAACTATTTAGTTCTGTTACCTTATTTCGTACATTACGTTTAGAGCCTGATGTTACCAGTATCTTTTGTTAATTAAAACTTTGGTTTTTCAAACACCACCTCCGCCTTTTGGTTCTTGCTTTTCCACGCCGTGACATGAACACTATGATTCTGTAGCTGATAACGACACTTATACTATGAAATACACTTTCAACCAGTGGACAATAAAGACAAGCCTATTTATTAATCTCCATCCAGCAGATCGATCAAACAGGTGTTTGTGTAGGCTGTTAATTGTAAGAATGGCTTTTTGAATTCTTCATATTATTAATGACAGGAAATATTTCGATTTATTTTACACAATGTTCTGAAGTTTCACAGTTTCATCGATCAGAAACGGATGAAATGTCGCTAATTACTAATTTCACCTGTTTCTGTCCGTACGCATGGGTCAGAGTGTCCGTGAACGACTAGGTAATAATGTCACCGATAAGATTATGATAATAGACAATTTTAATAAGCATTTTGCTGACGCTGGTCTTGCTTCATCTGACTTGCAAATCTGGACCCGTCAGCCAGGCTGGATAATCTGGACATCCTTTTCTAAAATGATCTGCTAATATTATTGCTGCCCCATCATCAGTCTGTTTAACCTATCTCTCTCATCTTCTGAAATCCAGAGAGATTGGAAATCCGACGCAGTCATTCCCATGTTCAAAGGAGACTCCCTTGACCACAACTGCTACAGACCAATATCAAATGTCTTTCCAAAGTTTTGAAAAACTGGTCAACAAACAGATTGTCAACCATCTCAAATCCCACTGTGTCCTTTCACTATGCAATCTGGTTTCTGTCCCGGTCATGGCTGCACCACTGAAAACCTTAAGGTCCTGAATGACATCATAGCCACCATTGATGAAATAAAATACTGTGTTTAAATTGATCTGTCCAATCAGGAATTTGATTCTGTTAACCATCGAGTTCTTATCAGTCGACTCAATAGCCTGGGCTTCTGTCATGACTGCCTCGCCTGGTTCTCCAACTATCTCTCTGATAGGATCCAGCATGTCAAATCAGAGGGCCTGCTGTCGTATCCCGTCTCTTTAGGGGTGCCACAGGGTTTGATTCTCGGGCAGACTCTATTTTCTCTACATTAACGATCAGCCCAAAGCCTCAGCCCTTCGTTAGATACTGTGCTTTCAAATTTCCAGGAGAGTTTTAATGCCATTCAGCATTCCTTCCGATACCTACAGTTATTACTAAACTCTGGTAAAACTAAGTGCATGCTTTTCAACCGATCGCTGCCCAGACCTGCCCGTCTAACTAGCAACGCCACTCTAAATGGAACTAAAGTTGAATATATGGATAAATACAAATACCTAGGTGTCTTGTTAGACAGTTCTATCTCCTTACAGCCACACATAAACAAACTCAAATCTAAAAGTCCAGAATCTGTTTCCTTTTCCGCAACAGGGCCTCCTTCACTCATGCTGCCAAACTTGCCTGGGGCAAGATGACAATTATACCAATGTTTGATTTTGGTGATGTCATTTATAGAACTGCTCCAAACTCCCTTCAGAAAATATTGGATGTGGTTTACCATAGTGTCATAAGTTTTGTTACGTACAACACCCACCACTGTAACCTTTAGGCATTAGTCGGCTGGCCGTTGTTAAACATTCGCTCTACCCACCCACAGTCTACGCTCAGGCAGGTACATTGCTTTAGTCAATTTCATGGCTACAGATGTACTTGATGATTTAGTTTACTTTAAAAACATATCACCCTCTTAATTATGTGGCTATTAAGGACAAAGTTAAATCGAACAGTTTCTTGCAGAATAATAATGTAATGCACAAATTGAAGATGATTGAAAAGTCATTGAATTACATTAATGCATTTATCTTAAATTTACCTTTTACCTTTAAATGAATTCATCTACAGCCGGACTCAACAGTTTACTTAACACAACTGAATAGATGCTTCACTCGAGCAATGTGTAGCTGACTGCATTGAATGTATTTTTTTACATAAACTCTTAGGCTTCCTCTTCTATCACTTTAGTATATCAATGAATAACGCATAGACAAGTGGCAGATTTACAGCATTAAACTTAACATATTTACAAGCCTACCAATTAAAGTATGGTCTTTAATCGTTTCTGTTCTAATTACTGTAGATGGCTGTCAAACAGGTGGTATTGGCATGAAAAAATTAGGTTGAATCAAATCAGAATGAGGTTTAGTACATGCAGTAGTAATAAGTTAACAACATATGATATAATAACAACAAAAACTGGGATCAACCGCCCGAGGGTAAAAATGTCTGTGGTAAGCCGGGGATTGGGCTTGAAAAGCATCTGTAAAGTACCTCGGTAAATACCAAAAAGATTCCAATATAACATGTTTTTCTTTTTAACACCTGGCTACATAACAATGAATAATTAATAGGCAGAATTTCTGATTTAATAAAGAAATGAATGCAGAGTGTTGAGTAGAACAGGACACTGACTGCATTTAACTAGATAACCTGCTAATTCAGCACTCGAACTTAAACCTTTAAGCCATGCCTTTAAGCCATGTCTAAATCTGGCTGGTCTGTGCTGACTGGAATGTCAATCAAACTTTTTGCATAGTTAGAATGAGTGGTAGATGTTGAGATGGCAACATCACTGTTTTACGCTATGTTAGGTATATCGTTTGAAATTAAAATCTCTAAATAATCGTTGAAATCTATATTTATTTAAGTGCTGCATGTTCAACTCTGATGAGCTATCGCTGAGCCCTTCCTTGCGTGCAAACTGGCCGCTGGGCGGGGGGCTGGTCTTCATAAACATCAGTCTCCGCAATTTCTAATAAGTATTTATTATTTGTTTGACTCCAATACTAAAACTGTTACATTTTTTAAATTAAAACTCTGTACGAAGCCAGAGGGCATCATGAACAATGTGGAAACTAGACACGGCAATATCGAGTTTCTCATAAAAGCAAGGGCGTTTTGAGCAAGCGAGTGAGTTTTAACCTAGTGAGTAGAAAAAGAAGGCACTTCGAGATGCTGAGAACATCTACCTTGTCTGAAGTATTTGCCGTACCCCTTCTGTTGTTGTGTGATTTGGTCTCAGTGCATAACTCCACCCACTGCCTCAAGTTTTGAGAACTCCTCAGTGAAGAACGTCGCTATTGGCTGTCCTAAAAGTAGCAAAGAAGTTGCTAAATGACATCATCACCTAAATTGTATAACTGCCCATTTGCATAATATTGTGATGGATCCTGTAGGAAAGAGGAATAACCTTGTGGGAGGGACAAAACGTGAGTAAAAAACTTTCAACCTTTCTCCTCTATCCTAGAGGAGCTGGTGTAGCTCAGTGGTACAGGGTATGCTTTGTATGTATGATGTCCTGGGTTCAATTCTCAGGTCGCAGTTGCAAATGAGAATTTGTTCTTATTATGCCTACCTGGTTAAATAAAGGTTAAGTAAAAAGATTTTTTTAAATCTGACCTGGGGACTGGAAAGTTTGGTTTTTAATGTAAGCCAGCGATGGCTTCCCGCATGCAATTCATTTGCAGTCTGGACGCAAAGGGGTGAGCATCTACTGCTCTGACTGCAGCTGGGAGAGACTGCTGCACGAGGACTGGGCGGCCTGTGAGTGCTTTGGAAGAAGAGTTGAGAAGAGTAAAACGATAACTCAGTGTCCAAAACTTTCCAATGACACCAGAGAAAGTTGAGAGATTTGTCGCTTTTTGAAAATGTGTCGCTGGAATAACTATAAATAAATATAGCAACAAAGTCGCAAAGTTGGCAACACAAAGTCGCTAAGTTGGCATACATGCGAGCGTGTCAGGAACCAAACGCAGGCAGGAAAATTAAATTGCACTACACAAGCGACTTACTAATTCAACAAAGCAACACTAACATGACTGTAAAACATAACACCAACCAACATGGAGGACATGACACGTAACAATGAACAGCAAACGGGAAAGGCAGGGGATCTAACATAAATACACTAATGACAAATTAGGATCTGGTGTGAATGAAAACAAGACAATTGACAGGAACAGGGGAGATGTTCATAATGGTTAAACTGTGAAACACAGAGATGAAAATATAGTGTATATACCGTGACAGTACCCCCTCTCAAAGGGTCTGCTCCCAGAAGGGCCAACTCAAACCGGGCAAAGGGAGGGGGGGCAAGTCCAAACTGTGCGCCCACCGTTATGTACCCACCAGGGGACCACATAAGCAGCGGCTTCAGTCCCAAATGCGGCTCTGCTAATAGAGTCCAGCTTTCACAGGCTTAGGAGGATGCCAGACCTCTGTGGGCTCTGTCATATGGGAAGGGGGCCAGACCTATGCCGGCCCAGGTGGCGGAGGTAGAATCCAGTCTTGTGAGGGCTCAGAATGCTCGGGCGTCGGAAGTAGAGGCAAGTCCTCTGACGGCTCAGTGGGCGAGGCCGGTCCTCACCAAGCTCTTGCGTCTGAGGTAGAGGCAAGTCTTCTGAGGGCTCAGACGGCAGAGGGAGAGAACAGTCCTCGGCAGGCTCTGGCAGCAAAGGTAGAGGCCAGTCCTCGGCAGGCTCTGGCAGCAGAGGTAGAGGCCAGTCTTCGATGGGCTCAGACGGCAGAGGTAGAGGCCAGTCCCCTGAGGGCTCAGGCGGCAGAGGGAGAGACCAGTCCTTGGCGGGCTCTGGCGGCAGAGGTAGAGGCTAGTCCTCCTTGGGCTCAGTTGGCGGCAGTAAAGGCCTGCCCTCTAGGGGATCATTGGGCAGAGGGAGAGACCAGTCATCGGCAGGCTATGGTGGCGGAGGCAGAGGCCAGTTGTCAGCGGGCTTTGACGTCTGAGGTAGAGGCCAGTCCTTTTAAGGGCTCAGGCTGCAGAGGGAGATACCAGTCCTCGGCAGGCTCTGGTGGCAGAGGTAGAGGCCAGTACTCGGCGGGCTCTGGCAGCGGAGGTAGAGGCCAATACCTGGCAGGCTCTCATTTTAGCATGTTCATTTCGAGAAGCAAAGACCCAAACGGCGTTCCATACTATTGTATCATAGTACAAAAAACATCTGCCAATCCGCCCTTATAGACCTGAAATAGAAATGAAAGATTTGAATATTTTATAGAAACATTTATACTTATTTCACTTTGGAAAGAATGGAGGGGTCCCCTTATGAAAAAAAGTATATAGCAGGATGACGTAAAGTCTAGGAAAGTGTAACTGTGAGATATTGTCCCCTAGTGAGTTTTGCGTGGGATTGTGGAAATCAAGCTTATATGGACCGAGAACAGAATCAGGCATGTATGCTCTGTCCATGTATCTGACTGCCCACTGCAGCCGCTGATAAGCACCAAACACATCTACTGTATTTGTCTGCTTCAGCAGAGGTGGATCATCCATGCGTTGTCCTGCGCTGATATTAGTACCTTCCATTTACTGAATAGAACAAGCTCTCCTCCAATTCAAATATGCACAGTGAAGAAGGAAAATGACTGCAGGAAGGTGATACTAAGTTCAGACTGTAATGCCTTCAGTCTGAACTTTGTTAGCTAGCTATTTCCTTTGACATTAGCCATATCCACTCTAACAGCAGTAGGGAAGCTGGTCTCGTAGAGTAGGTAGAGAACTGATGTGCAGTGCTCAGAAACAACAAAGCAGACAGATACTAAAAAGCTGGGCTCTGTCATTTACATCATTAAACCTATCAGCAGGACATTACCGGCAGAATATTTTGACATTTCAAGCAAAGCAGCGTCATATTACATGTTTCAATGACTTTCTATTTTTCTCCACCTGAGGAAAATCCGTTGAGGATGCTGACTGAAAATACACTGCATCCTCAAGAATTCCTAAAAGATAATGGGATAGGAGCTGATCTCCTCAGTCAGTCAGAATTGGGAACTGTCAAATGCAGACACTGAAAAAACAGGTAGATGGACCTGTTGAGTGAGAATGACTGCTGCCACCTTTACTGGTTGAAAACTGACAATGCAATATGTGAAATTGAAAAAATACATAAAATACTGTCAGAAGTATTGCAAGCTTGTTCATATTCCAGATTAATGCACAGTCCAATGATTAAAGCAAATGCATCCTTCAATAATATGTTGTGCAAATCCTCACTTTTCTACCAATCATAAAAAAGTGTTTTTCTAAAAAAAATTCTCCCTTCTGAAAGAGATGTGTTTTTGCTCAGATGCATGCAGTTTATAGCAGATCTCAGGCTCTGGGCAATGTAAGGCTTTATGCAGATAGATGACGTCTAAAGAAGCTACAAATCTCTCTCTTTTTGCTGTTTCTCCAATGAGAAGTAAAGTCACGTCCGCTCATACATTTTATTTATGATGTGTGTGGCATCCCTGACTAAACTATGCTTGCTGGAAATGGATTTAGCAAATTAAACTATAGGAGATACACAATATTTCCATGGCATGGTCAAAAAATACTCTGGTTGTGAGGTTGGTGTCAATGTGTCTTAAAAGCTAAAAAAGGTATGTTAGCTTAATAAGGTACTGCCTAGGGTTTTAGCTCCCACTGCTAAAAGTCTTATGGCACACATCACCAAAGAAACCCCTGAGGAGAGGGTTACCTCACTGACAAAGACTAGTATTGACCTGTTATGAATATGCACAAATAAGATATATACAGCACTTTCAACCAGAAATAAAAGCCAGTTGACCCTTTGAATGTACAGCTTAGACACCTCCAGAAGAAACATGAACCCTCCCAGACTTTAGTTCATTTGTATAATGATTATTGTGCGGTGCTGATCGTGATTGAAGCTAGGGTGCTTTTGTGGTGGCTGGACTGATAACAGCACCCACTCTGAAAGCTAATCTGCCATATCAATCAGTACCAGGATGGGATGCCTATTGAGAAAACAATTGGTTCGCTGCTACAACACAGAACCTGGGAAGAGAAAGACAAGGACATAGGTGCAAGGAGACAGAGAGAAACTCGGGGTGTTTCCACTTCCTTAGACAATGTAAACAAATGTTTCCCAAGCCAAATAATGTCCTTTCAAAATGAATTTAGAGAGAATTCAGGGAGAAGAAAAAGAGCTGAAGAGACAATGCACTTATCTACATTGTTCCACACCGAGAAGCCATGTGCTAGACCCAACTGACAGAGGACAAATGGAAAAAAAATAAAAAACAATAGCAAAAAAGACATTATTCTGCACATAATATTGCTCTTCTTGTGCGTGTCATCCATTACTGCAGAAGCACATTGACACGTTTCTCTGAAAAATCGTAGATCAGTAAGAACATCAGCATCAACAAAACATCAAGATACGAATATCTTATACCATGAAGACTATGGAGTTATCTGTAGGGCAATTATTGTCTATCTAAACAAACACAAAAAATATTGTCAATTGTGGATTGTCAGTTGCGTGCCTTAATATAACAATTTATTTGTTCAGAATGGTGCTATGTTATTAAATGCATTTGACAATAATATACTTTGACTTGATGTTTCGCTAGCTCCAACCTCAACCTACTCTAATATGCCACTGGGGAAAATACGTGAAACACTGGGGGGCTAGTCTGCCATTTTAAAGTCTCCCTCTGAAAGTCTACACATTCTGTACGTTAATTCCCCTCATCTAATGATATACTTTGTTGTCACCAAGGAGAGAACTGTTGCCACCATTTGTGAGTTTTCCACTTAGTTTGTACTCTTCTTCATGGATAAATACAGCCCTGTCAGTGGGAGGGGTTCTGTGACAGAAGGGGTTCCGTGACGGAAGGGGTTCTGTGACGGGAGAGGATTAGAGAAAACAGAGTATCCGAGATGCGAGGGGATCCAAAACGGGTGGGTATTCGAGGTTGGATAGGATCAGAGACAGTAGGGGATCAGAGACCGTAGGGGGAAGACAAGATGGAGCCGTATGCGGTTATGGAGAGATCAGAAAGAACCATCTGCAGAGGGTTGATTGAAAGAGGTGTTCTGAGTCCTAATGGTTGCCAAAATGCACAGCTTCAAGCAAGATGTATGTACTTAGTTCCTTTCCAGTGGGCATTTACTCAGAAAAGAGCAAGAGAGAGAGAGAGAGAGATCATGTATGCTTTGATCTATAAAGTATTATGGAGTTTAGTACAGCGAGTTGTTCTACTCATCAGTAGCTTTGAACAAAATGCACTCTGGGCTAAATCCACTGTATGGGTTACAATATTGAATTCACTAATTGTTTTCATGCCAGTTAGTATAAAATCATGGTAAAATGTGTGGTTAATGACACACCTAATATGCGTAGACTTCTTGTTGAGGCTAGGGTTTAGGTCATGGTTGAATCAGGATGTGTATTTGATGGTAGGGTTATGGTTGAGGCTAGGGTTTAGGTCATGGTTGAATCAGGATGTGTATATGATGGTAGGGTTGAGGCTATAGGCATTAGGTGAGTTTTCAATGTCAACCTTTAGGATAGACA